TGCTGGAATTGCCTCCTGGAGCTGATGTGATATTCTGCTGAATGAAAGTAAAAATCCAAAAGAGAGTGGTGATAAGAGCACTACAGAATCTTTACCCTCTAGAGGTTTCTGAAGTGGAACCTATCTTGGATCAAGGGTATCAAACAAAAATTTCTCTATTGGATGATTTACAGATTACTGAATGTTCTGTTTGCGATGACAATAAGGAGAATGAAGCTCTTCCTTTTCTTTTATTGTTAGGAGGATCAAATAGCCTAACAGATGGTATCTGTAATCAAATTATTATATAACTTGTATTATTGACTTTGTAAATTTAGATAGTTGTTAATTTGTGAAGCTCAACTTCCATCAAGAAGTAAGTTAACTCTCATTAGATGGATGTCTGACATCATTTTGACTTTGTAGTGAATACAGACTGTGCAAATAGCATGGTGTGTTTGTGCTAGTATTAATAAACTTTGTGTTTTTCCAATAATTATTAGTGTGTTTTCTACAGAGTTTGAGATTACTTCAAAAGAGGAGAATTCAAAATGTTAACTGTTTTCCACATTATGTAATTCTAGCACAAAAATAACCTAGTTTTTAGTTATTTTTGTCAATTAAAATCAAGCTAAGGTATAAAAGTGATTAGATGTATACCAGCTAAATTGATGCTATTTGCAATGAAATTATTGTTAACTTCCCCAGTGGTTGAAGTTATTTTGTCAATTAAAATCAAGCTATGTTTATATCTAACTAGCAGACCCCGCCACGTGTTGTTGTGGCTCAAAATGTATCTATTATAAATGTATAACACTTTCCCTGTGGGGGGGGGGAATTTTTCGAAAAATCCCTTCTTAGTGTACATTTTCTTGATGTACCCTATTAAAACGCAATCAAAAGTGCAAAAAACCACATCTAAAATAGTATAATAGAAGCCAATTTCTTCACAGTAAGCCTTAATCCTGTCAATCTCCCCCAGTGGGGGGGAATTTCGACATGTATATTATATAAAAACACGTGCATATTCGAATGCAGCAGTGTGTCAAAATTTCAAAGGAATCGGTATGAACAAACGAACATTACATTTTTATTTATATAGATAGATAGAAGATGATCTGCTTTAGTTCATCCTCACAGAAAAGCATGTTTCACAGAAAAGCAAACTTAGGGCATCGTACTCGTAGCGCCATATGTTGGACATAAAAGCCTTAACCCTGGATGATATCTTTTAATTTATATGAATGTTTAACGGAATAATATACAGCCTATGTCCACCCTGAACTTCCATTCTAAAGATTAGTGAAAGAATTTTTGAAATCGGATGAGCAGTTTCAAAGATTACCCGCTACATACAAACTTACAAACATTACCTCTTTATAATATTAGTATAGATTAAAAGACAAAATGAAGAATTTTGTTTTTCACATATTAATTCTTTGTAAGCAAATCTTTAACAAACAACACATTCTAATGACAGTCTAGCCACACAGATTGCTCATAGTCTGTCAGATAAATACTTTAAATTCTGAATATTCATGTTTATCATATATGTAGAAGACCATGAGAGTATGAGATATATCTCATTATTGACTTACAACATAGTTTGTTTTGAAAATTATCTATCCCTTTTCTGTATTTTTACTTATTACATTTAATCATTATCCTATTTAATACTTATTTAATCATTATCCTTACCAACTTTTCACATGACTTTGCACATTCTTGTACAGTACACTTACATTATAATCAAAGATGAAAGACTGATACATGTGTGTATTTTATATTTATTAATACAGTAGAGCGTCGTTTATCCGAAGGTCAGTTATCCGAAGGAATTCCAGTCGACAAATTTAAATTTTTGCCAGTGCTGTGGTGCTGTAATCTTTGGCTATGTCTTGGGCTACTCAAATATTTTACGTTTTTGATACTAAATTAACTTCTGAAGTATAATTTTTTATTGTTTTATATTTTTCAATATATTTATTTTGTTTGTACAAAATAAATAAATAATTTTTAAGGATACAATAGTCTTCGTTAGGCTTAACATTGACGAAAATTCAACGCAAAGTGACACGCAATGGAGAAAAATTTCAACACAGGATAAATTAATATATTTTTTCGTACATAATTGGTTATCCGAACAACCCCAGTCCCCAATTGATTTGGATAAACGACGCTCTACTGTAGTACAATTTTGCAGAAGATATTTTAAATGAGTAGCAAAGACAAAAATACATTCTTAATGTAATCTAGTTTACTCTAAATTTATATCAAAGACATTGTTAGGCTTTATAGATTTACTAAATTTTATACACTTTAAATTGCAATAAATCTTTAATTAGGATATTCTGTATGAATGAATAACATTATACATCATTTTTCTACCAATTTTTAATGCATAAACAACTCTGTAGTATGCAAATGACTAATCAATTATACATTCAACAAGTTAAAATATTAGTCAGAATCTTTGAAAAACTTGCTCTAATGCTAAGCATGCTTCTACTTTTAACACTAATCATGAGTTTAGAAACATTTTGAACAATGTCTTCATGTCTTATTTCATTTAACAATATTGCAGACAGTGCCATTTTCCATTGGTGGTGAGTTTTTGAACTATTTTTTTTTTGTGGGAAATAAAATCCCATGACATCCTGTACACTATTACCAAGTTTGATAATATTCTGTCCAGTAGTTTTCATTTTATGGCCATTCCAAAGTGGAACTTTAATTATAAACACTGTATAATAAAAAACTGGAATGCAATATCAATGTTATTTGAAACAATTGTCCTCATTATTAGTGTGTGTTGTATAACTTCATAAATAAAGATAGGATCCTTTATAGAAAAAGCACTATAGTTAACTAGAGAACAAATGTATATTGTTTGTATATGTTAATGCAACTTGCAAGCAATCAGCCAACAGAGAATACCTTCCTGAAGGACTTTCTAAGGAAAAATGACCTCTATTTAGGTGTTACAAATGTGAAAAAACTCAAAAAAACACAATGTGGCAAGATCATTGGCAAGGCATGAATCCACGCAAATACCAACGTTCAGTGGTTTTATCCATTCAGCCAGCGGCAAGCAATCATTGTGAAAGCTCTCTTCATCAAGCATGTTTTCAAAATAAATTAAGTGTTATTCTTGTTCCTTACAGTATGCATTTAAAGTATACACATCACTTTAAGAACAAACAATATATTCTTTTCGGTACAATTATACATTGAAGGAGACGGTTACAGTGGCATAGCTACATGTTCAGTGCCCCATAGCAAGTAGAATCGGTGTGACCCCCAGTTCCTCAGAAGAGGTCTGGCGAAATTTGTTTTGAACATTTAGTTTAAAAAACATATCTAATTACAGTAGAGCGTCGATTATCCGAATCAATTGGGGACTGGGGTTGTTTGGAAAATTGATTTTTCGGATAACTGATTATGTACGAAAAAATACATTATTAATATAGTACATTAGCATATCCCAATAATAGTATATTAATATATTCCATGTTTAAATTTTTCTCTGTTGCATGTCACTTTGCATTGAATTTTCATCGATGTTAAGCCTAACGAAAATTTTTATAATAATAATCGTGGCTATTGTATTGTTAAAAATTATTTCTTTATTTTGTACAAACAAAATAAATATATTGAAAAATATAAAAACAAAAAAATTATATTTTAGAAGTTAATCTAATATCAAAAACGTTCGATTCAGCATGACACAGTCCAATTGAAACGCTTTTTGGTTAACTGACATTTTGGTTGATTGGCATTCGGATAAACGACGCTCTACTGTATTTCGATTTAAAACCTTACTTAATAAGAATTTGTTTGAGATTCAAGACATTTCAACAACAAGATATTCAATTTAGTATATACAAATATAATTTTTTAAGTACAGAGTATCTAATAATATTTACTATATATATACAATTGACAAAATGTATGCAAGTTTAATTTCATCACAAACATAATACATAAAACAAACTTCAAAACTGTTGTTTTCTCACTTTTTTATTTCCAAATCAGTCAATCACTTTCTCCAGATTAAGTCAACAAGCTATTTCAATTGATATAGTAGCAAAAGAGCTAAGACGATGTTGTGACATGCTGCTTCTTAAATAAGTTTCAATTAATTTTAGTTTTGAAAACTTTCTAACTTGGCACCCTCACAACTCATGTCCCTAGAGCAATTTGCTCCAATTGATCCACAGTAGATAAGCCACCAGACGGTGAGGACCTTCCAGAACCGTAGACAATACCCTCAAGAACAAAAAAGCAACCCTTTGCAAAATACAGCCCCCAAAATTTGTCATATGCAATCAGGCATCACACCGTACGCTCTGCTAAGATTATCATGTTTAACTATTTAACCCAGGCTATGCTGGCTTTGAGTAGCAGTTTTACATTCTTTCGAGCACATCATAAGCTTCAGACCATACGAATTACAGATATAGAAATATAAAAACACCCATATCAAGTGACTTCTGTTAATGCAATTAATTTTCAGGTTTCTAATACTACACGGCAAAAAGTTCAGGGTGCACAACCACACAGAAATATTTAATAAATTACATAATAATGGAGATATTCAACCATACAAAACCAGCACCGGTCGCCAATCGCAAGCAAGAATAATCAAGCAAGAATTTATATAATTAATAGTAATCGTACGCATTAACTTAAACGATCAAACGACCGGAACTTAGTAGCAGAATTATGCAGCTGTCAAAATTGTGTAATACATATACAAAAAAAAGAGAGAAGGAATGGTTTATTAATGTGTTGATGCCCTAATTTTTCTTGTTTTTTCTAAATAAAATTTTGTTTATCTCATCACTGATAATATTTTGATCAGTTTGTGTCATTTAAGTGTTCAAAATATAAATTTAAAGTGTGTAAACAATAAATAACACGTCCAGCTTAGTGTATCACGGCTAAACATGAGCATGAAGCAAAATTAAGTGTAACGAAGCAAAATAAATGAATTGAAGGGCAGGAATTGATGGACTTACCAAAGAGCATTGGCTAAAATGACTTCTTGAGGTTTTACCCACATATTTACGTTCTTTCGTCAATTACATTCCAATCAAGAGTTCATTATTCCAGCTCGATTTACTGTGACGGAACATTTGTTTTTCTTTATTTTTTATTAAAAGATAACGTCTTCACCAACCAAACATTACCTTACTGATAACAAACATCCACCTCTAATAGTGACCTCTAGCGACTAAAGATTTCCTAACTTAAAAAGAAAAAATTATTATATAAGGTAATGAATAAATATTTTTAATCTATTAAAACTTTATTTTATTTATCAATTTTCCATTTTTTATTTAGGCTTTCCTTTTTTCGTCTTCAATTTCTATTTTTTTTGTTTTTTTTTTAAATAACTTTTATTGTTTACTTGTCGTCGTAGTCGTAGTCGTAATCGTTGGGCTTCAGTTACACAGACTATTGCGCCCCGTGGTGGTGAGAAGTGGCGAACGTAATGTTTTCTTCAGTAATTATGGATTTGCTTGTAAACGGTGAAAAAGGTGATCAAACTTTGTATACAAATCTCGATGGGCGTGAATTTAAGGCAATCGCTTATCTTGAAGATTTTGTGACGTGCGATATTGTTATTGTCTAGAATTTTTTTCCTGACGGGTTCGAATCGATGACAGTTATCCAACCGATGTATCGTCGTATCCTGTTCTGTCGGGCAGAAGGTGCAGCGATCAGAATTTTTCAGGTTACGTTTATGGAGGAAGGAGTTAGTGATGAGGGAATTAGTCCTGGCGCGATGTATCAGGATGGTGGTGTAACGATCCGTATAGTCCATGACGGGGATGTGCTTGCCGGTGGTGAGCCATTGGTAGTCTGTGTGGTTGGGAAAGTTGTACCATTCGTTGTCCATTTGCTGTTTGTTTTCGGTGTTTATAATGCTGATGTAATCCTCCGGAGTAATGTAATGAGTTTTCTTGGTGTCGTACGGCTGACTCTTTGCAAGTTTGTCCGCTTGTTCGTTTATGGTTATCCCTTTATGGGCTGGAGTCCAAACGAGGCGCGTCTGTAGGTTGCCTTTATTACGTCTGTTGATGAGGCTAATGATGTTGTGAATGATGGATGGAGACTTATCGTGATGGGCGTTGGTGGCGGTGAGGATAGCTTTGGAGTCCGTGCACAAGGTGATGTTACTATTAGTCTCTGTAGCATGTTGTAATGCGCTGAGGATGGCGAAACCCTCCGCCGTGAAGATAGTGGCCTCGGGGTGTAGAGTGTAATGAGCTTTGGTGTTGGTGGAGTGGTCTACAAACGCTGCCGAGACGGTCGTGTCTGTTTTGGAGCCGTCGGTGGCCAGGAAAGTAGAGAGGTCTTGTATTGTTGCCCACTCGAGAAAGGTGGATTGAATCACTGGGTCCGGTAGGGAGGAGTCCTGGAATGGAAGGTCATCAATGTGTATGTCGAAGACGGGGGCGTCGGAGGGTATCGGGTATTGAGTCGTGTGGTTGTCGATGGGGATGTTATGGCTGTTAGTCCAGTTCCTGATGTAGTGGGCTATAGGGATTTTCACAAGGGTGGCACCGTCATTGCTGTGAATGAGTTGAATGATCCTCCGAGAGAAGTCGTCCCGCGAAGCCTTCTGAAGATAGGAACTATAGTGTTTTATTTGATATTTCCTGTACCGGCAAGCAATAGTAGTGGTGTTGGTCGCTCTGCGAGTAATAATGTTGGTAGCAGTCGAAGGGAGACCATAGCTGAGTTTAACGTACTGCATCTGTAAGGATTCTAGGGTGGCCATCTGGGTTTTAGTTAATGTGGCGATGCTGGGGACGACATACATGAGTAAGCTGCCGATAGTGCTGTCGGCGATGCACAAGAGATCCTTTGGCTGGCCGCCGTGTTTTTTGTTACAATAAATTTTAAAGATGTTCATGAGCTTTCTGCTCTTGTCCCGAATGTATTGGATGTGGGTGTTCCACGTGAGGCGTGCAGTAATATACACGCCAAGTAGTTTGATTTTGGAGACCTCGGGGATATGTTGGTTATTGAGGATGAAATCCTGGTTGGCACCGATTTTGGTGGGAATGCGCATGATCGCGCACTTCCGTGGTTGGCACTGAGCAGAGTTTTTCTGGGACCATTTGCCAAACTTGTTTAAAAACTGGATCGTGTTACTGTGTAGGTGAGTCGGGTTAGTACCATGCGTGACGGCAGTGACATCGTCTGCGTAGACATATATTTTGGTGTGTTCATTTTCTAGATGAAAGATATCATTCATGAAGATGGCAAACAGGAATGGGGAGATAACACTGCCTTGTGGGATTCCGACGCATTGAGTGCTNCCTATAAGATATAGATACGTTCCAATTTATTAGGAATCCGATTTCTTACAAGTCGTTCCAATCACAGCCCGACACGTGTCAAGTTTACGGACTACGGCTGATTGAAAGGTTTTCTTCCATAAAATTAATCGATTCTACACTAATCCGACTCAACATTTCCAAAATACGTATATTTTTTCGTAGTTTTATAGGAATCGTAATTATAGGGACCGTAATTATAGGGGGGTCGACTGTAATGTTATACAGTCATCTGTACTACGAACATCGGTTCTTTATACTATTTAGTTGTTCCATTTTTACATATAATAAATTACACAGAATCTGATGAAAGATGATATGCAATCAGTTTAAACTTAATAGATTGTCCTTCGTTTGTTTTCTAACTAATTCGTTTTAGGACCAGGGTTCACGGAAATTTCCAAAACTTACAACTTTTCGGTCACTCTCGTTGAACTGGAAAAATTTCTGTCTTTATTACATCTAATAATACGAAGAAATCAGTCTCCACTGTACTCGGCTAGAGATGGTTCGGTTAGGCTCTTGTTTAAGTAAAATTTCGGCTCTTTCATCAGGGTTTTGTTTATGTCCCCAATTTCCTAATCGCTTAATTATTTAACTACTTCTTAAGTAGAAATAAGTCAAAACCAGTTTCTTCGTACTCGAATATTTGTAGTCTCGGGAAAAAGTGGAAAGACAAATTTTTATGACAAACGAATACATAAATCGTAAATTTAATGAAAATAAATTCTAGAGCTTTTTCTGTACCTCGTGCATCTCTCCCATTCAAAAATAACATAAATCTTCAATGTATTAATTCTGGTCGGAGTTTGTAGTAAATTTCTTAACCAAATATTTCCATGCCGAAGGTAGGCTCTCGGAATCCCTTGCATTTAAACAGCCTTCTCTTATCTTACTTCTGTATATTTCTATTTTTTCTGCCGTCANGAATAAATAATGTTTGTTTATTTATTAATGGTTCGGCCTCCATCTTGACCGCACCCTGGGGAACCGGGATCGAATCTGGACGGGTCGAAAAATCCCCAAGAATTTTTCGGGGGTAGTCCGTTTGGATATGTCGGGTTCCGTTCCGCCCCATTGTGGGCCTGGTCGAATATTGGGCTTGATAAATGAGACCAATATGGTTCGACCAGATCAAAGATCAAAGATCAGACCAGATCGAAGATCAAAGATCAAATATGGTTCGACTAGATCAGAGAGTTAAAAAAAAAAAGCGTGATGACTGTAGTGATCGGAGTAACCAATAAGATGCTACGTTATTGTTTCGTTCAGCCAATAGCTACTTAGAGAACGTTGCNGTATATATTAATATTAATAAGTGCCTACTATTTCAATTCACATACTTTGCACGAAGGACAAGGGCCTCGCAAAGTTCTGCCGCCCAGGGCCTCGCAATGGATAAGGCCGCCGCTGAATACAGTACAACAAAAAACCATTTATGTTATAGAAATGAAGGAAAATATGACATATTAGAAGAAAAAGGAGTGGTGTATTCCTTTAATTGTAATTGTAAACCAGAAAAAATATATATAGGGGAAACGAAAAGAAAACTAAAAATAAGAATAAATGAACACATCCCAGCAATCAAGAGAAATTATGCAAATTCAGTAGTAGCGGAGCACTGTAATGCCACAGGCTGTGAAATAGTATTAAATTCAATAAAAATAAGGAAAAAAGAAAAGAATAATTATAAAAGACAACTTTATGAACATATTAATATAATTAGACAAAATAACAGAATAAATAGTAATACTGATAGAGAAATGCACCAATCATGGCGAAGAATCATAGAGGAAGGGGCGTGTCTGAAAGATAAAAAGAACAATGGGAAGAAGTGGAAACGAGGAGTTAGTTAAATTGAACAGAAAGAGATGTAAGTTGTAAAAAAACAGAGATAATGTAAAATATTAATATAATAATTTGTTTAATACAGGCTTAAGTTTACAATAATATCGTTTTTGTTGGTTAAAATTGAATGTCCAGTATAGTTAAAAATGAAAGAAAAAAGTCTGAAAAATGTAAGAATTTTATTAACAAGTTTGTCGTAAANCTTGTTTAATTTAACCTTTTTGGTTAATATTTAAATAATATCATATTTTATCAGTTTTACCAGTATTATACAGTTGTCCAACAGAAAAGTAAACTATCTTATTTACAAATCTTTTCAAAATAGACAGTTTGACCGGGCCCTAGACATTTGTCTCATTTGTCTATGCGATGATCCGGCCCTGCGTATAATTCAAGTTCCGTCACTTGATGGCGGGGAGTAATGGTGTTCTCCGGCTCATAAAAACTAACTCTTTCCTTCGTGAGCTTTGTTAGAGTTCCGTTCGAAATGTCATCACCCCAGATCATGCGCACTGAGCGAGACTACTACTTTTAGAACGATTCGTTACTAACGCGTTTAACTCGTTCGACTTTACGAACGTACCCTCTGTGTGCCTTGAGTAATTACACCACAAGGTGTCCATATGATGTTTGATCTCAGTGTTTGTAATATTGGTGTAGTCCTCCGGAGTAATAAAATGAGTATTCTTAAAGTCGCGAGGCTGGCTCTTAACGAGCTTGTCCGCTTGCTCGTTTATAGTTATCCCTTTATGAGCTGGGGCCCATACGCGTCTGCAGGTTACTTTTGTTGCGACTGTCGATGAGACTAATGATGGTATGAATGATGAATGTAGACTTATTGTGTTGTATTATCGTGTAACCGTGAACGAATCAAGAAAAAAATGGCGGGATTAATCAACGAGAACGAACGTTTTTTTATTGACCTGCGCACATCCGACTTGGATTTCTACACACAAAAAAAAACACAGGTGTCGCTTGACTTAAGCGCAGCTTATAATAATAAATATGATTAATCTTAACATATTGTGATGAGCGTTGATAGCGGTTAGAACCGCTTTACAGTCCGTGCACACGGTAATGTGGCATGTTGTACTGTACGTAACTCGGGGTGAAGAGTATAGAGTGGGCTTTTATGTTGTGATTGTAGTCGATAAACGCTGCCGTGAAGGTAGTGTCGGTTTTCGAGCCGTCGGTGGCCGGGAAAGTAGAAACATCTTGCGCCGTTGTTCATTTATGATAGCTGGATTGAATACGAGGGTTTGGTAGGGAGGTGTCCTGGAACGGGAAGTCATTGATATGAATGTCTATAGTGGTGACGCCAGGAGAAATGGAGTTTTGGGTTGTGTGATTATCGGTAGGAATACTGTGAGTGTGTGTCCAGTTCTGGACGTAATAGGCTATAGGAATCTTCACAAGGGTGGCACCTTCATTGCTGTGGATGAGTTGTATAATTTTCCGAGGTGGAGTGGGCAAGCAAGAGTTCAGTGGGAGCCGAAATGTAGGTTTTGCAAAATGCATGGATGCCGCAGTTCTGTACTTTTTTATTCTGTACCGCGATTTTATTATATAATATAAACATAATATAAAACAAATATTGAATTTTTTAATAAACATATTTTCACAAAATGAAAGAAATAAAATTGTAAAAATAATAATAAAAAGCGGAAATTAACATTTCTAGCATGTAACTAAAAAAGAGCCGCAGTTGTCCATGTCTGTAATATACATTACGTTACAAATATTTTTATTCTATCACAAAAATTTATTTTATTTAAAAATTTTCCATTTTTTATTATTTAAACATATTAAATTATATTTGGAATAAATAATGTTTGTTTATTTATTAATGGTTCGGCCTCCATCTTGACCGCACCCTGGGGAACCGGGATCGAATCCGGACGGGTCGAAAAATCCTTAAGAATTTTTCGGGTGTAGTCCGTTCGGATATGTCGGGTTCCGTTCCGCCCCATTGTGGGCCTGGTCGAACCATATTGGACTTGATAAATGAGACCAATATGGTTCGACCAAATCAAAGATCAAAGATCAGACCAGATCGAAGATCAAAGATCAGACCAGATCGAAGATCAAAGATCAAATATGGTTCGACTAGATCAGAGAGTTAAAAAAAAAGCGTGATGACTGTAGTGATCGGAGTAACCAATAAGATGCTACGTTATTGTTTCGTTCAGCCAATAGCTACTTAGAGAACGTTGCACTGGAATTTTAATTATTTACTGTCTTCTAACCTAAATTTGCTTAATTAATATTATAAAGACGTTATAAAATTTATCTTAAAATTAATCAATACAAAACAGATATCAGTTCAATCGAGTTTACGCACCATAGTTTATTTTCCCCAGACGTTACAAAATTTCAGGGTGACGCCATTATTATTATAGCATTCCTCTTAAATTAATTGTGACGGTATGCATTATGAATCATTCAATTCCGAGTTAATTTCGACAAGAATTTATAATTTGTAATGTGTCCATCTAGAAATAAAGATGGCGACTATCAGCATTTAGAATTCTTCAGTCAAAGTGCACGGTGGTAGTATTTTATTTGCCAGTTTGTAGCTGCCAGTAAATAAAAAGCAAACTGCTAAAAATAATTCCTGTGCTTGTGCGAATTATTTTAACCTCTGGCCCAAACCAGGACAAAAAAATTACTAATTAATAATTCAATTTATTGTTTTTAAAAATGGATATTCTTTCTTCAATGCATCCGTAAATATAATTTCTTTTCGGCATTTTGAATGGGTTCAAAAATTAAAGGGGGTTTCAGTCTGTAGAAAAATAAAGAAATATACAGTAATTAATAATAATAATTAAAGTGTTCGTTAATGTTGACAATGAAGAGATCTAATCGGTGTACTCTTTCTTAA